TGTTTGCAAAAAAAAATGTTCGAGCAGAGTTTATTAGTTTTCGACAATCTATTAGTTTTTGTTTTTTAAGTAAGAAACTGTGCATTTTTGGGAAAAATCTCAAATAAGCTCTTTGGGTCCCAACTGAATGTAGAATTAGAAACTAAGTTTTGTTTACAGAAAAACCATTGGCGTGCCCCGTTTTACTGTCTGGAAACTATCAAATGTGCGAGCAGAGTTTATTAGTTTTTGACAATAAATTAGTTTTCATTTTTAAGTAAGAAACTATGCATTTTTGCGAAAAATCTCAAAACAGCTCTTTGGCTCCCAACTGAATGTAGAATCAGAAGCTAAGTTTTGTTTACAGAAAAACCATTGGCGTGCACCGTTTTGGCAAATACTTGACACACGGTTAATTTTCTCGGACAATCTAATAGTTCTTATTTCTTAAATAAGATGTGCATTTGCAACAAAACCGGAAAGAGATGAAAAGTGCAAAAAATCAACCAATTAAGTAGGAAAATTAATAGTAGATAACCTGGCCTATGTTGGGCCATGACGTTCTGGGTTCTTGTGGTGTTGGATAAGCACGTGATTGGTGGCATGCTGGCTGGTTGGATTTTCATAATTTTTTCGCAAAATAGTGCATTGATTTGAAATATTGCAGGAAAATGGAGCTGCATACTCATGCGGCGGCCTGGAAGTGGGCCAACTGATCCTCTCAGTGGACGGAACCCGAGTGGAAGGGTTGCAACATCAGGACGTGGCTCGTCTGATCGCCGAATCGTTCGCCCGCAGAGACCGCAGTGATATCGAATTTACGGTAAAACTTCGGCATTTTTGCCGCGAAAAGAACCGCTGCAACGGCGAAAATTTGCAGGTAATCGAGGCGAAGAAAAGCAACATGGAGCCGAAACCAACCGCTCTCATCTTCTTGGAAGCATAACATTTGCTGCGCCTCCCCCCTAGCGACCCTCCGGGGCCGATCGTCACCGAAGAACCGGAACCTGGGGACTGACGGTCCGAACCAATGGCCACTGCGCATGTGCGCACGAGTAGCTGCTGCAGCTGGTGCTTGTGCCAGTAGGCGGCCGCTCATGCGCACTTGTTCCGATGGCCAGCCAGATTGGCTTCGGACCGCAATCTACAACTACTACATATCATTTATAAAAAAAATAAGCAATCTGTGCACTTTTCGCGCGACAATTCCAAACGCCAAAAGTAGAGTGATATGTTGTTATTTCCTGTCGCTGGAAAGGTTCAAATTTTGCTCTAGCTGTGGTAGGTATCGCGGTTACTCTTGCATTCGCTGATGTTTGTTGTGTTCGGGCACTTTCGATTATGATCCCGAAGCCTCTCTGTAGAGACCATCAACGAAAATTGCAACAGAAAATAATCCTCTTTACTACTCCAGTCAGTCTGATGCTTTTACACACTTGAAATGGCTTCGCTACTCGTCTGTTCCTCCTTTTTACTAACGAAATATATTTCATAACTTTTCAATTAAGATTGTCCGCATTTTTAAGTGAAACTTTAGAAAATTGAACATTTTGAAAAAAGAGTACTTTGCCTAAAACCGGCAAATTCTGAATTTTTGACAAAATTTGAAAAATATTATTAATAAATGGTTCTCAAAACAAATCTAAATACAAGTAAACAAAAGTCGTCAACATTCTCACAGCAACGGAACTGACTTACTGCGCCGGTGCGTTAAGTTGGCGCACCAAGCCATTTGCGTAGCACTGCGCCAACTCCTAAAAATTCACTGAGTTACTAACGCTGAAAAAAGTTGGTTTTGACTTGCATTTAATTAATTGGTTTTTCCATAATCAGGCAGTTTTTTAATGAAATATTCAGTTTCGCTTGAATATTTAAATCGCACTGTATAATACTGACATCTAATTAAAAAACTAGAGGAAATTTGCTAGCGAAAACCGGTAAAGTTATGGCCAAACGTCGGCGCCCTCTAGCAATGTTGTTTGGCATTGTAGACATCTGCTCTTGTGCGAACATTTCTTTTCTAATCAAGCTTAAAATGGGCAAAATCGAGCAAACGGTTTAGAAGTTACCGCGATTTAAGTGTTGACATTTTTAATAGCCTTTTCCACAGTCTTCAAGCTCGGTACTTCAAACACCGTAATTAGGAAATTTTAAAAATTGCGAAAATGCGAAAGTTTCAAAGAATTATCAAGATTTTCTCATGGCCGCTTGAGAAACGAAAATGTTTTCCTAAAATGTCTTTAAATGTTGGTCATTCGAGGTTGTTTAGTGGAAAAACTGTAGCGCAGCGACGGCTGAAAATTGGACAAACTACAGAAAATTGCGATAAAAATGTTGCCCAGAACGTTGTTGAAAAACGCGATGTTAAATTGAAAAATGCAAAATTTTTGGGGTTCGAAGTTTTACACAATTTACCAACAATTTAATAAACAGCCGGAATTACATCCAACAATAGCAAATCGTACTAATGTCTTTGCTTTGATTCAATAGCTTGTGCATATGAAAAGTTTTCAAGAGCGCGTCGCGCTTGCTTCATATACCCGTTTGGCAACACTCGAATATTCTGGTTCAATAATGCATCGCGCTGCCTCGAACTTTCAGTAGTCATTGCGCTCGCATCGTTGCCGCGTTGACTTGTTTTTCTGTGCTTAAATAAAAGTTTTCCGGAAAATACTGTAAGATTGTCCGCATTTTTAAGTGAAATTTTAGAAAATTGAACATTTTGGAGAAAGAGTACCTTGCCTAAAACCGGCAAATTCTGAATTTTTGATAAAATTTTAAAAAAAGATTAAAAAATAGTCCTCAAAATAAATCTAAATACAAGTAAACAAAAGTCGTCAACATTCTCACAGCAACGGAACTGACTTACTGCGCCGGTGCGTTGAGTTGACGCACCAAGCCATTTGCGTAGCACTGCGCCAACTCCTAAAAATTCACTGAGTTACTAACGATGAAAAAAGTTTTGACTTGGATTTAATGAATAGGTTTTTCCATAATCAGGTAGTTTTTTAATGAAACATTCTGTTTGGCTTGAATATTTAAATCGCACTGTATAATACTGACATCTAATTAAAAAACTAGAGGAAATTTGCTGGCGAAAACCGGTAAAGTTATGGCCAAACGTCGGCGCCCTCTAGCAATGTTGTTTGGCATTGTAGACATCTGCTCTTAACGCCAGTGAAAAGTGAGAACATTTCTTTTCCAATCAAGCTTAAAATGGGTAAAATCGAACAAACGGTTTAGAAGTTACCGCGATTTAAGTGTTGACATTTTTAATGGCCTTTTCCACAGTCTTCAAGCTCGGTACCTCAAACACCGAAATTAGGAAATTTTAAAAATTGCAGAAACGTCAAAGTTTCCAAGAATTATTAGGATTTTCTCATGGCCGCTTGAGAAACGAAAATGTTTTCCTAAAATGTCTTTAAATGTTGGTCATTCGAGGTTGTTTAGTGGAAAAAACAGTAGCGCAGCGACTGCTGAAAATTGGACAAACT